ACAATTGCCATAGAAAGAGTGAAATGTGGTTATTTGTAACATGGGTAAAGCTGAAGGGTGAAATAAACCAGGAATATAAAGTCAAATGTTACCTGATCTTATTATTTAGGGAACATATAAAAGCTGATCTTGTTTGTGTTGCGAGGAGAATGGTACCTGAGGCTGGGGCAGTAGGAGGTAGTAGGAAAGGATGGAGAATGATTGATTACTTGGTACTAAGATACATTTTAGATGAGAGTAAGAAGTTCTTATAAGCTATTGCACAATAGGGTGACTAGGAGAAATAACTGTGAATTATTGTGATGAAACAGCAAATGTATAAATGTTGCATGTGTACATGGTATTTCATCAGTATTGACCATTGTTACATTATATATCATTTTTAAAAGTAAACTTCATTTAAAATATAAATTTCAAATCTATCTGCCCTTGTATGTTGTTGTACACAAAGCTTTTCTCTTCCTTGAACTCATTTGGAAATTACTTGAACCGATGGCTTATGGGTTGGGGGATCCGAAGCTTCTACATCCACAACAAATAATCTAACATCTGCATATCAAAGTCACAGAAGGAGAGGAGGAAAAAAAGAAGGGCTGAAAAATTAAAAGAAGCATGGCTGAAAAACGTCTCATAGTTGGCGAATTACACAAACCTGTGACTCAAGAAGCTGAGAGAACGCCAAACAAAATAAATACAAAGAACTGTTGTCAAGACATATTGTAATCAAATGTCTGAAAACTAAACACAAAAGAAAAATCTTGGGATTAGAGAGAAACTGTGCATTACTAGTAAGAGAAAAAAACAATTTAAATGACAGCAGATTTCTCGTAAGAAATCCTGGAAGCCACCAGGAAACAGAACCCATTTCCAATGCTCAGAGGGAAGAACTGCCATTTAGGAATTCCAGTAAAATATCCTTCAGAGGTGAAGCTGAGAGACCTCCTTAGATGAAAGAAAGCGATGGGAGTTTGTTATCAGTAGAACCACCGAAAGAACCGCTAATGAAGTTCTTCATGCAGGAAGGAAGGGAGGGCAGGGACCAGGAAGGAAGAGAGGGAGCCCCAGGTGGGAAACAGACAGCTAAGTGTCTGGCTCTTCTCACCACCAGACTGTACGGTATCATCTAGAATACAAAAACACAACAATAACCTTTTCACACAGTTGTCAGTGCACTAGTTAAGCTGACTGTATCATGAGCAGGAGATGAGAATGGAAGCTGAGGAATTAGCCAATTACAGTAGAGGTGGATTCTATTTGAAGTGGAAAAATGCTGCTGGCAGTTGACGGTGTGGGGAGGGGGGATGGCAAACAACAATGGATGCATATTGTAATCCATAGAGCAGACACTACAAACTGTGGAAAATGTGTATAAAATGAATCAAAATGGATTTCTAAAGACAGTTTGAATACTTTACATGGAAATGGGGAAACGGAAGAGATGGAAGGAAAGCAAGGGGCACAAAAATAAAATAAAATAAGACACAGATTCAATCCTAATATGTGAGTAATTATTTAGCTACTATTATTTAATAGAAGTAAATTGTACATGTCTGAGGATGTAGCTCAGTGGTAGAGCACTTGCCTAGCATGTCCCAGGCTTTGGGTTCCATCCCCAACACCGCACATGCACGCACATGTGCGCGCGCGCACAGATATAAGTCTTATAAAGATGCAATTAAAAGATAAAATAGCAAAATAGATTGAAGTGATGCTCTTCATCAAAAAACACCTTCAAACACAATTATACTAATAGATTAAAAAACAAATGAAAGGGACTAGGAGGCGGTACTTGAGCAAGCATGAGGACCAGAGTCTGGATCTCCAACCCCAGTGCTGGGTAAGCATGGAAGCCCTACCATAACTGTGACCTCAGAAGGAGATCTAGAGCAAACTGCCTAGCAAGACTAGCCAGGCAAGCTCTGGGTTTGACTGAGAGATATTTTCTTATTGGTTAAGGTAGAAAACCAATTGAAGACAATCTCTATATCAATCTCAGACCTCCATATGCATACATATTTACATGCATGTACACCCACCCCCCCCAAACACTTATGTGCACACATGTAAACGTGCATACACATACATGCACACCACATACACATACACACACATACAACACTAGTATGGAAAAAGGAAAATTAAGTAAAAGGACAGAGGAAATATCAAACAAACACTAATCGTAAGAATGCTAAAGTGTCTATATTAATATTGGTAAAGGTAGTCTTCAAACAAAGAAAATTGCCAGAAACAATTAAGGACATTATACAGCCATAAAATGGCCAATTCCTGAAGACGCTATAGCAACCTTAAAAGTGTCTGGACCATAAATAAAAAAAAGACCCGCAGAAGCAGTGGCTATGCTTCTAACAGGTCAGGAAGCAACAGCGAAGCTCGGGCTAGAGATGTGACTCAATGGTAGAATACCCGCCTAACATGGGTAAAATCCTTGCTGTCCACATCACTACAAAAACAAAAACTAACTAAGAATGGATCGCTCATAAATATGAAAAATCAGTGATAGCATTTCAAAACACTGGAAGGTGGGCACGGTGGCCCACTTCGAGAACCACAGTACTTGAGAGGCAGAGGAGGATTGCCGTGCATCTAAGGCCGGTCTGTGAGCTCCAGGGAAGCCCGGACTACAGCATGAGCCTCTGTCCCAGAAAACAAACAAATGTACAATACAACAAAGCATTTTGCTCACTCCACAGTGAAGAGAAAGGAAAAGGTAAGGTTAAAACCAAACAAACCAGAAAAGAGGCTGGCAGCTAAAGGCAGGACGCCTAATCTTTTGGATTCTCTAGGCCACACTGTACTAAGAACTGGCTTGGCCACAGATAAAATGTCCATTGGACTAGCCTAGGTACTCCCTAACACTGGCTTTAAGAAGTGCAATGATGAGCAAGAGACTGGGACAGAGGAGACAGCCACTAGAGAGTCACTCATGGACGTGAACTGCTGAATAGACCCCCAAAGAAGAGATGCAAAGAATATAAGAAACAACTGTACAGATGTTGTAGTCTGAAATGTGGGGTTTTCACCTAAATGAAATCTCCATGTATTTCATCTATGTATTTCAGCTGTTAGTCATGACATGCATGGATCTGTTCCTGGTGTTCCCTGATGGGTGGGTCTCATGCTGTCACCTTTGTCCCTCAACTGTGCCTTGTGAAGATAGCAACTGCTGCTAATTTAGTAATACAGTTCAGCCTTTGCGTTAGCTATATAAAGTTATGATATTATAATAACCACGTAGGATGGATGTAATCTTGTTTTAGGATAAGAAATATTGATGTTCAAATAAATGGTTTGCCTGAGGTCCTAGAGCTGGTGAGTGTCACAAATGAAATTCAAGTGAGGACTTCCCAGGGTGGACACAACAGCTTCTTCTTCTTTAGTAATATGACTCCTACTATAGACTTCATTTCCCAGCTTCCTTTGTAACCACACCTGGCCATGTGACATCTTTATGTCCAATGAAGTGTTAGCATTCTACTGTAGTCTTGTTCTTAATGGGATGAGGTGTGTCTTCCTCCTCCTTGCTGTTGGCTAGGTGAGCACGAGCACGCAGCCACTAGAACAAAAGCATATGTCTCCTATGATTAAGCTGAAGGTAGACGGTCCAGAAAGAATTAAAGCAGCCCCGACTTATTGACGTATGAAGCTTTTGTTCTAGCTTTCAACTGTCTTTGGAGAAAACCCCTGAAATTTATATCTAGTTTAAGCCACTTTGTGTGTGTGTGTGTGTGTGTGTGTGTGTGTGTGTGTGAATCTGGGTCACTCAGCTGACTTGCTCTCCTAATGTGTGTGGACTTCAAAGCCTGTACTCTTTACTTTTATTTGTGTCTTCTCTCAAATAAGCATAGTGCTGAAGTGTGCCACAGGCTACAGCATGCCACAGCCCTTTCCATCCCACTCAAGCAATTCAGATTTATAACTCTCCCCAAGCCACGCACAGTGTCTAGAGCAGAGTAGAAATTCAAGCAGTATTATAAATTCATTAACTCACCAATGTGAGAATCAATATTTCAAATAATCTAGGAGCCCAATATGTACCCGATGCTGGCCTCTGGGTACTACCCATCACTCCTGTCAGCCCGTTGGTGTCAGCTCTGAAGAACTGCATATTGACTTGATATTGACCCCAGAAAAATAGAGCAGAGAGCTGAATTTGCCTCCAACACCATCCATAACAACAACAAAAAAACTGGGCTCAGTCCTCTTGGATTGCCAGGTTTGCTCCCCTTAGTCCAGCTCCCAAAGTTCTCCTGCCTTGCTGAAGTCCTGGCATGAACCTTCAAGACATTTCAAAAGCACACAAGCTCACTAGTTCTTCTTCCAATATCTGGGGACAAAACAGAAGAGACTCCAGCCACCTTATGTCTCAAAGAGAAGTAAATTCTCCTTACAAGCTCCATGCCTATGTAAAAAGCGAGTGAAAGAGACCTGAATAAGCTTGTCCCAGACCATCCTGAGAAAAGACCACCAAGCAAAGTAAGCCTTGGCTTTTGGTGCCCCCAGTGAGGCCATTAGGGAAATGGCTCAGTGTTTAGGAGGAAGAGGAGATTTAGTCTAGTCTGGGATACAGGGTTGAAGGTCACTTCAGTCCTTCTGAAGTTTCTACGCCATATGAGCTCTCAAAAATACCATACCAGCTAATAGATTTTTTTTCACTTAAAAAAAAAAAAAGACAGATGTGGATATGCACCCACATCTGGAAAGAAAAGGCACAAGGCTCTGCCAGGCATGGAATTAAGCTGGTATTTGTAGTTGTATCGTGGCAATTGGCTTTACCTTCTCGTTTTGCATAATCTCCTCAATGGAGAGGAGAGTAATTTCCCTTCAGTTCCTAGACCGCTGCTTGGAGAGGACAGAGAGGAAGTCTCTGCATTTTGTGAAAGAGAAAATCACCAACATCCCTTTTGTTCCCTTAGGCGGGATTTGGATGGATTACTTATACTTAAAAGGGAAGGCGGCTTTTAACCTTAAAAAAAAAAGTGAGAGAGAGAAAGAAAAGAAAAGGGGAGGTGGGGAAAAAGAAAGAAAACTCACCGCATTAACACGGTGCACTGGCATGTTACTAAATCTAAGGAATTTTGAAGGATAAATTCTCAGACTTTATCCAAAACATGAAACAAATTCTTCAAACATAAGCTGCCACACTCATCAACTTGTTCAGATCCCTGTAATGTCGCTCTCCCCAAACGCCACGCTTAGCTCTGTGATTGGCTGTTTAACACTTGCAGGCTGTGGAGGTGGTGGGCAGGGAGGTCCGTCCGGAGGGGACTGTTCAACAAGCCTGGTGTGTTGGCCCCTCAGAAGATCAGACTTCTGGAATCGATTTGGGTTCAGAATTGCATTACCGAAGGAATGCCGAGTATGCGCGGGCCTTGATGGCTTGTGAACCACACTTCCTGAAGCTGGCCACAAGCCAGCACCGAGACCATCAGCATCTTAAAAATGAATTCTTTATGAGACAAAGAACAAGCCACCCAATTTCTGAAATCACTGAAGTGGAAAGCTTGTCTGTAAGTAACCTAAAACTGGTCCACACTTAGACTCCTTTGTGTTTTGAGTATATGGGAGGGATCAAATGTCACTCCAAAATGCCTTTTCCTTTCCACAGGCGGGCATTGTGAGGCCCTGGGTAGCCTGGGATTATTATCTGGCTGAAACTAAATTGCTCTGGTTAGGCATCTGCTATTCTGTAAAAAAATATTGCCAAATAACTGCACCAAAATCAGGCAAATAGGACCAAGTATGTTAAGGAAGGGTAATAGCTCTGTCTCTCCAAGAATTTAAAAGTCTGGATGAGATGAATACCCAGGAAAGATTCCCATAACTCCACATAAAATGGTTGTTGGAAGGGGTCTCCTGTAGGGCTTCTATAGAACTGGTAAGCTGTACAGCCAAGACTAGAAACAAAGAGAACATTCCAGCGGCAGACAAGAGATGGGATGAGGCTCAGAGGCAGAAGCCAGCAAAGTTAGCAGTGAGTGTGTGTGGCATGACTACAGGAATGCCATCCCAAGTAGATGATGAGGGGAACATGGGGCCAGGGTAGGACAGAAGGAAAGCCATGTGGCGTAAGGCTGCACTTACCCTATGGTTATAGTTCGATGCTCTGTGAGGCTGGGGTCGTTTTCACCTGATGTCTCACAGGTTACCTTACTTCTTTTGTCTCTAGTTTGAGTTCTTTCCTTCTAAATCAAAGTTACCCCACCTTAAAACAAACATGTGCTGTTGGCTTGTAAATGCCGCTTCTGACTGTCCAATCCTATGACTTCATATAGTCTACCAGCCTCACATCTTCCCTTTTTTGCAAAGAAGGAAGTAAATCTTCTGAATTAAGTGATGCATGGAGACTTGTGGGTCATATTCTGTCTAAATAACCCCAACATTGATTGTCCAGGACTGCAGACAGACCTAAGCAGCTTTTCTCCCCCTCCATCGTATCATAGGGCCTTACATCAGGGTTTCTCGGACATGTTCCGCTCAACAACCTTTCACTGGGCAAAATATGCACATGACCCTGAGGATGTAAGTATATAAAACAGGTCTACAGATCAAATGTTTACTGATAACAAACCATAAAGAAATTTGTTTCAAAACAGTTCTTTGTTATGCACATAATTGTTGCATGTTTTAAGATGGAAGGAAATGAGTGTACTAATGATATAAATGTGCCTCTTTATTTTTACATGAACAATTAAATCATGCTTGTATATTTAGTGCTGCAGGATGTTCAGCATCTTCAATGTTTTTCAGAGTTGATTGTTATTTCGACTTTATGATTATCAATACTGAAAATCTGCTTCACATAAACATATGATATAAAATGGAAATATTATAGGGCTCTTTCAGAAACTGCTGGAAAATATCCTAATCCCGTGTCAAAATTCATTTCATGACTTTTTAATGAGACTCAAGGAAACAACTCAAACTTTAAAAAAAAAATCTAACAGCACAATTCAAAGATACACAAATTTGGTACATACATGCTAAGGAATGATGCTAGGAAAATATTAAAGTCTTTATTTGCAATAATTAATTGATTATGTTTCCATAAGACCAAAAAATGTTTCTTGAGCAGCAAAATCTCTGCAATTTCTAACATACAATAGTCTCAAATATGATCTAGGTATTTCAGGCAGCCTTTGTTGGTGCTATGCGGTGTGACGTCACGTGCAAGCGTGACATTGTGTGCAAAGTGTTTAGAACCAAGTCTGCGGTGAAGTCATGTGACAGAGTACAGGCAAATGCTGCAATAAAAACACCTCAGATTCATTGTGTGATTGGTTTTAAGTTAATTTCTCATGCTCAGAAACCTGTCACCATTGCCAAATTTTTCACACCCTCCACATTCAGCTACACTCATGTTGTAAGACCCAAAGCCTTAGATGATGTGGTGGTTTGAAGGAGAATGACCTCCACAGGCTCATATATTTGAATGCTTAGCTATCAGGGAGTGGCATTATTTTAAAGGATTAGGAAGTGTGGCCTTATTGGAGGAAGTGTGTCACTGGAGGTGGGCTTTGGGGTTTCAAAAGCCCAAGCCAGGCCTAGTGGCTCTCATTCCTACTGTCTGTGGATCCAGATGTACAACTCTCAGCTACTTCACCATGTCTGCTTGAGTCCTGCCTGCCTTCTGCCATGATGGTCATGGACAAACCCTCTGAAACTGTAAGCCAGCCACAATTAAATGCTTTAAAAAAAAATACAAGTTACCATGGTCATGGTGTCTCTTCACAGCAATGGAGCACTGACCAAGACAGAAGACCATGAGGTTTTGCCTTCTGTGTGAATTTTCATGTCTATTTCCTTCTGAGTACCTTACAAAGAAGACAAAGAAAAATCTACCTGAACAGTGAGTGCATACCTTATTTTTCTTACTAGGAGAATCACACCCTCGTTAGCCCATCTTTCATGATAGAAATACTAAAAAGTTACTTTCTTAAGGTGTAACAATGGAGATTTAAGTGAAGCCCATGTTTCCAAGTGAAGCCTTAATGTTAAATCTAGTGAGCTGAGTTAAAACATTTTCATCAGAACCTGCAGCCAGCCTGAGAGACTTACTTCCCAATTAAATCCATCTCTTTATAAGTTCTGGATGTTTTCACTTGCTTTATGAAACAATACTGGCAAGTCCAGACACAATTGCCCTTTCTAAACAGTATATAAGCAATCAAATTAAGTTAGTTTGAGCATAAATTCCTAGAGGCTGCAGAGAGTCTAATTGTCTAATACAAGCAACTAGTGAAGAAATGAATGAATGGATGGACAACTTTTTTAAGTGAAATATTTCTATGAAGAGAAATCAGACTATGAATGACCGCTTCAAAGCTCTTCTTCAGTGGCTGGTGATGAGCTGATCAGTCAGAAAGAGCTGGAAATGGCAACACATGAAACTGGCAAACTTGTACAATATATCTTAAAATGATATTACCAAGAATGTTGAAGAAAGAAATCAGCTTGTTAGGTCAGAAAATCAAAATTGTTATCACAGACTACCACAAACTGATTCAACTAATTTTCCGCTGAGCAATGCATTCCAGGGCTTTTGAAAGTCCCCCACACTTCACAGCAGGCTTCCCCAGTATGAAGGGCCCTTAAACATAATTTGATCCAGTCCATGTGCTTAGTAGAAAAAAAAAGCAAAGACCCAAAGCAGCGGTGTAGCATGTCCCAGGTCACAGAGTTATACAGCCACCCTCTTAATGCTCCTTCTGAGACACCATGGTACCCTACTAAGAATTCACAGGAGGGATGAAGAGCCAGGCCAGAGATAATCAGGATGCTGGACACAGAAGAGCTGCTTAATAAAAGGTAGACCAGCTCTAAGTACTCAGGGTGAATCAAGAAAACACCAGAGAATGTGACATTCTGGTGTAAAGGAGCCACAAGACCCCAGCAGAGTAAGGGAAATTCAAGACTTTGCTGATGAAAGTATGTAGAAGGAACATGGCTGTAAACCCAGTTGGGACACTTCTCTTCTAAAAGGTTCTGTTCCAAATATAGCAATGTCACAGGAATACAGGCTTCTTTCGCTGTTGGTTGGGAGAAAGAGAAAGTAGCTTGTGCGATGCCTCATAGCAAGCATTGCTGAGCGAGATCCCATCATCCCCAGTGATGCCAGAACCCCCAAACCACCAAGGACTACAAGGAAATGACTGGCTGCTCTGATCCGTGCAGAACCAAGGCCTGAGATGTTCCAGGAGTTGTTTTCAAAGAAAGTGTTTTGCCACCCTGCCAAGGAGAGAAAACCCACGAAAAGGGAGAAATGGAATTGTGTTAAGATTTATCACCATGTGTCACCATGGCTGAAAGCAGGACAGCAAAAAAAAAAAAAAAAAAAAAAAAAAGGGCATGAGCAAGTGAGTTAAAAACTTTCCATAGCATGAAAAATGTGGGCCTGAAGTGGAATGCAAGGGAAACTTCCAAGATGGCAGGCCAGAATTTAGTGATGGACTGTCAGAATAGCTCCAGAGACATACAGAGGAACAAGACATACTATATTCCTAGGACTGACTTAAGAATAAGGCCTGGACAAGAAGGAAGACTTGCAGCCAAATGCTCAAATGCCTTAAAGTTCCAATGGTGCCTGTAGACACAGAGCTAGAACTTGGCCCACATGAGAACAATGAGGTTTCTGCCCACTGAATCACGTGGAGACACCCTCTTACTTCCTACACAGTGATCAGACTGGCAAAGATCAAAATGAGCCAGTCACTCTGGACCAGTCCTCGCTACTCCTCTGCTGTTCTGCCTGTAATGGCTTCATACTGTTTCAGCCCCTTTTGAGTGTTCTGTGGGAACAAGTTGATGATGGTTGGACATCCAGTAAAAAGAAAATTAAACAATACAAAAAAAGAAAGAAGGAAGAAATCAAAAAAGGAAGGAAGGAAGGAAGGAGAAAGAAAGAAAGAAAGAAAAGAAAAGTGAGTGATGACTTGAGGTACTTAATTACGAGATGATAAACCCTTGGGACCTTAGAACAAATGCACAGAGCACTAAACTGTCCCGAATCACCAGTTGCATGCACACAAAATAACATATTGAAAGAGAAAATGTGTGTCAGATTGGGCTTGGCATTTTGTGTGCATGATCTTACTAAAGTCCTCAGTTTCCCCTTTTTGCAGAAAGGGAAACTTAGAGTTTAAAAGATTTAACATCTTACTTGAAGTTGTTTAGAGAGTCTCACAAACCCAGCTTATTAGCGTCGGCATTTAACCACTCCACTGTTTGCCACATCTCTTTCAGCCTTTTAAGAAAATAAATGCTACATTTAAAAACAATTAATCTATTCGGTGTTCTGAACTGCCTCTGTGGAGTGGAAAGTCAGCAAGTACCACGGATGAAGTCATGGCCTGGAAAACCAGGCTCTGATCGGAACTGGGCCACTCAATACTGAGTGTGGTGTTTAAAATTCTTACCCTGCTTGTCTGCCTTCACTTAAGTCATAGTACTTTTCCTCTGAGATGCATCCCATCCCCACAGACCGCTTCACACTAGTCAGTGGCGTGAATTAAGAGTACAGGTTTTCCTGACCATCACACACCACCGGAAGGACAATTCCTTAGTCTTCGTGTGGAAGGACCAGTGAGATGGGGTTTCTGTATCTAAATCTCAGGATCCAGCACTTGCTACAATTGTTTCTGCAATTTCACTTGCCATTGTGGAGGACCTCAATGTCTGCTCTCCTAACTCTTCAGTAACATTACCCAGAATCCCTTACTAACCAGAGTACAATTAAAGAAGGCAAATGCACGGCGAAGCTCATCAGTTCTTAGGGCCACATCTGAACATTCTCTTTAAGGCACAGGACCTTACTGAGTGTTTTACTGTGATCTCCCTGGTAAGTCATACAGTTCTATTAATGATGGCTGAAATTTGGAGATTATTAAGAAAGTGTGTTGATTTGTACAGTTGGCCATGAGAGAGATGGAGAGACGATGTCTTCCTGATGAGGGGCATTGATGCTCTCTGTTAATAAAAGTGTTCTTCTCTATTTTACATGCCTTCAGTAAGCATAAACTTCTAACTCTTGGGGATGTGACAGGAACCTACAGAGAGATGTCACCCTGACAGCATTATTTTCATTCTTTGTGGTACTACCAGGTACTTTGTTGGCAGGTAAAAAAGTAATAGTTTTTAGTTGGGCGGTGGTGGCACACGCCTTTAATCCCAGCACTTGAGAGGCAGAGGCAGGTAGATCTCGTGCATTCCAGGCCAGCCTGGTCTACAGAGAGAGTTCCAGGACAGTCAGGGCTAGGGATACAAAGAGAAACCCTGCCTGGAAAAACCAAACTTAAAAGTAAAAAATACAAGAATAGTTTTCAAATTCCCCCATTAGAAAACACATTGTGTGTTAGTTTTCATTAGTCACCAACTTGACAGAATCTAGAATTATCTAGGAGAAGGGGGATTACCTTGATTGCATTGAAAGAGGTGGGGAGATTCACCCACTGAGGGTAGCATCATTCCCTGTGCTAGAATCCTGAACTGTATAGAAAGGAGAAAGTGAATTGAGCCCTGCACTCATGACCGTCTGCTTTACTACCATTGTGGGTGTGACATGATGAGCTGCTTCAAGCTCCTTCTGCCTTAACTTTCCTGCCATGATGGACTGGACCTTCAAGTCCTCCATGGTGGACTGTACCTTCAAGTCCTCCATGATGGACTGTACCTTCAAGTCCTCCATGATGGATTGTACCTTCAAGTCCTCCATGATAGACTATATCTTCAAGTCCTCCATGATGGACTGGACTTTGAATTGTGAGACAAAATAAACTCTTCTGTAAGACATCTTCATCAGGGTATTTTATGACAGCAATAGGAAAAGAAGCTATCTGGCTTTTGAATAGACATCACGATTGACAGGTTAGGTGACCTGAACTTGTTGTTGGCTTACAACTGATAAACAAACGACCCTGTTTGATGTGAATAGCTAACACTCTATTTATGCAGACACTAAAGGCTTTCTGAACCGGTTAAATAATTACACAGAAGGGGAAAGGTATCAACAAATTGCCCCAAATCTTAAAGATACCATATTGACATCCCCAAGAGGTGCTGGGTAGAAAAATGAAAATTAGAGGTGTTAGAAATACCACCTGAAATTAGATCTGGCCCTTAATATTCAAAGGAGGGGTTTATTCACTTTCAAAAATGGCTTCTGTTAATACTTGTTTTATCTTCTTTATCATGTTTTCTACTTTGTGATGTAAAGGTAAAAATGTTATTTTCTCAAGGTCACGTGTGCTGGAGATGGTTCAATAACCATACAATTCTAACTCAGAGCTAAGTGAGTTCTTCACTACAACCAGCACCTCCCAGCCCCCAACAGAGCTGGACAGGCTCCAGCCAGAAATCAGCTCGCACCAAATGCTCACACAGTTGGATCCTTAACTAGAAACCATAAGAAGTGAAAGGAAATTCTGCCATCCATGTCTGTAACAGATCCTCCAGCCATGAAAGGAAGGCCGGTGCTCCATTGGTCATGCTGTCTCCATGACTGCTGTCAATCCGCCTGCACACAGACACGCCTCAACCTCCACACAGAACCTTGTCATTCTCAACAGGCTCTGGGGCCCAGTCACTTCTTGAATCTTTGTACTCACAGTCCGTCAGGTTGTGAAATGAATGTGTTGCTGTGTCTCTTCTTCCTCCACCTTCTTGTATCAGCCCATCTGTTGGCTCCTTCTTCAGCACCCTTCAGTGGGGAGCACAAGGCAGTTGAGCAAAGAGAAGGGAAGTAAGCCACACGCCACTTATCCACAATAGATTAGTCATCGGTAGCATAGTGCTCTATGCATCCTTGTCTAATTCTCCTCTGCTCTCATGTTTCTAGGCACACTAGCACATGGGTTTGATCTCTTGCCCTGAGGTAGAGAGGCCCAGGGAGTCTGACTTTGCCTCTCTTTATAAAGACACTTCAGTCTGCATTTGAAAGGATAAAGAATGTCCTTAATACGGTAGGATGTGATCAGGGAGAAAGAGTTTCCTATTTTTCATTTAATTGAGAAATATCAGAGCTAAATCTTTAGAGATGACCTTACCCAGTCCTCTAGCCTTGCAAATCTTGGGCCTGAGACAGAGAGCTGATGCAACTTGCTGGAAGCCAGTCTTACATATGAATGTTACAGATTTGTGAACAGTGACTTTGTCTCCCTAGAAAACCTCGAATTCTGAGATGATGACTCTGGTCACTGTGCAGTGCTCTGATATAGTAGGGAAGCATCCGTGTGCAAGTGAGTCTTTAAAAACACAGGGGAAATTGGCTTGTGCACAAAAACTTATACTTGTTTATTCTTAGATGGTATTCACTTGAAGTATGCATAGGTCAGATTCTCCAGATTCTTGGATAATCTGAAACCCCCAAATTATGTGTAACTAAAAAACTGTTTAACTCACTTATGCCAATGGGGGGCAAAATCAATTCAATCACTGTTAACAAAAATCAAGTCTGGTTTTGTTTGCTAGCTCAGACTTGACTAAACAGAAATAAAAGAACCAAGCAACCAGCCAATACATCAGAGAATTATTAGCGAATTGCTTAGTACCCCTAGGGGTTATGTCTCAAAGGACCATCTAAACTCAAACGTGTGTCCCACTCAGTCTTGTCAGTGTGGGAAAAGAAGGGCTTCTAGAGAGAGCTATTTCTGGCCTCATCTTAGGAAACATCCTTGCTCAGTACCTGAGAATTACTTTGTCTGGTTTGAGGATGTCAGGACAGTGCGGAAGCTGATCTCATTCCGTAACAAACACGCCTTGAGTCTAAAAGCTCCCTTCTCCCTGAGACTGATATAGCAGGACCAGACAGACATGCAGAGGAAGCAAAGTAATGCTGTTTCCTCCTAGGAACCAGCAGAAAGATACAGCCAAATCCTATAAGATGCCATACAGAAACTACAGAAGCTGTTCTCGGGAGAGGTCTTCATTGACCAGGCATGTTTGAGACTGTTTATAAACTTGTTGTTCACGAGGAGCAAAAACAAGAATCATGGCTGCTAAAGATGGGACTGCATGCTGCTGGTCACGGGAGAAAATTCCTCTTTCTTTTCCCCTTCCCCTTTCCTGCTGTCCCAATATCTGACACAATCTAGAAGTTACTCGAAAGCCAAGCCTACAACCATCCTCACTCTAACTGGTGAAGCATGACACCAGTGGAGAGAAAAGAGCCGTTTGCACAATAACACAGGGCAGAAGTTTTCATAGGAAAGCACTTAGGCAACTAGGAGAATTAACTAGACATTCTAGAATCAAGCCAAGATATCATTGAGAGCCATGATCTGGGTTGTAAACTGAAAAGTGAGTTGGACACAGCACAGGGGACAGTGATAGAGAAAACGCCAACTAGTTCAATTTACTGTCTCCCAAATATGTAGTTCACTAATGACTGACCTTCGTATAGAAAACACACACACACACACACACACACACACACACACACACACCACACACCACACAACACACACACACACACACACACACACACACACACACCACACCACACACACACACCACACACACACACACACACACACACACACACACACACACACACACACCACACACCACACACAAACACCACACACACACACACACACCACACACCACACACAAACACCACACACACACACACACACACACACACACACACACACACACACACACACACACACACACAGATGGGGGATGGGATGGAGAAAGAGAGAATTTTAAACTTCCCATAGTTTCTCTCTAACTTATCTAATTTATAAGCTAAAATTGCCCAAAGGAAAAATTAGGTCTATAAAACCCCTGCCTTGATCTGATCGTAACCTTCGCCCTGACTAATCTCACGAAGCATCTCCTGCTTCCAATCATGTGGGTTTGTGCCTTTGACTCATCTTTCCACTTACAACCCTATTCAGTCATTAGACCCAACACTTTGTACAAACGTCCCTGGATATGACCTTTTGATTCCCTCTTCAAATATGATTCATAGAGTGCCTGCAGTATCAGAGCCTTCAATCATCCTGGGTCAACATCTCACTGATTGGTCTTGACACCTGGGCTCTTAGGAATCAGCACCTCCCTGGCTGACAGGGGTCCTATTAATTTTGATCTAGACCTTGTCTGAGGAGTTCTACAGTGTCAGAACATAAAGAGGGCTGTTTTTACCAGGGAAAGGGTTGTTGCTTTTGTTCTTAGATCTTAAGTTACTGAGTTTGATGTTCTGTCTAACCCGGGCCCAAATATTCCTGGACCTAAGGAGTCATGGGCCAGAAGTTAATCAAACGGTGCTAACCTCATTACCATCAAGCCTGATGCAAGATGGATAGCTAACCAGAACATGTTGTCATAGAAACTCACCATTTTATAGTTCACAAATAGTCACTAAAGGTGAAGATGTGTCAATGAAGACTTCCAAAAAGAAATATTAATTTTAATTTTAACTGAAAGCAAATAGAGAGAAATTTTTTAGCCATCCTATAATAATAAGTTCAAATTTTCTTCTTTTAGTTTGAATCATCTGACCTGAGTGTTACCTAGTCTTTCCTTCCTAAATAATAGAGTTCTAAACTTTATGCACCATCTCCAGTTTTTGTTCCTCAAAGTGAATCCAAACCTTAATGTCATTTATTAAGAAAGCAAAGTTCCGCCTTCCAGAGTTTTACATTTTTTAATAAAAATTTTCAGACTCTATTATAAAATCCAGAGCAGTATTTAAAGACAAACCTTGAAAATAATGCTATCCTTATTGGCTCCTTCCAAAAAGACTTCAACTTCGTTTCCAATTAAATTGAAAAGTATCTTTTTGTATTCATATCCCACTGCTTTATGTACAGTCAAATTCAACTTTACAGTTTG